TACGGCAATAGGCTCTTCTCATTGAGAATTCTTGGATACCTTCATCCATAACTTCTTCCACACTTCGTCCGTGCATTTATCAGTTAATTCTTGCCAAGTGAAGCCGATATTGCCTATGGCATCCATGATGTTATATTTTTTCCAAAATTGCACCAAATAAATATAGATTTAAAGAAAGTACACCTTTTTGACACCTTTTTCTGATTGGTTTCATAAATAATAGTATTAGGTACGAATCAATAAAATGCCACGATAATTTAAATAGGTGTAAATTTTGAGCTTTTTTTCAGGCTTCGAGCAGATGGCATTATATCGAATCAGCGTTAAGAAGGGTCTTACTGTACATCAGATCTAACAAAGCATAAATATGCATTTCAGGAGGAAAAATAAAAATATTCTTTACATTAAGACAGTGGTTTCCAAACTTTCTGTATCTCTTTTTCAGAAAAAAATTGTTGCACCCCTCAATTTTTGTAACAATCTATTTCATAAATACTGCCCTTATAATTTATTTAATGGCCTACAAAATAATATAATTTATTAAATAAAGTATACTGTTTGCCAGTGCTAGACTCTTGTCAAAATGTTTTGGCAAGAGTGTGGATAGAATTTTAGGTTTCATACCAAAGTCGTTCTGATGAGGGTTGTGAATTAGGCATAACAGCTTTGCTGATTAATTTTTTCAACATCAATTTGACTTTTTTTTTTTGTTTGTTTGTATTAAAAGATGATAATTTGGTAAAAGCCGCATGCTCTCTTGCACCCCACAGACTGGAAAACACTGCATTAAGGTGTTAAATTCAAAAATATTTCAAATGTTTAAATAATTAATTAAAAATAACAAGTATTTGAAAAATTCTGATCAAATTTTATATTTACACATGCCTATAACATGTATGTTAGAAAGAAACTAGAAAGTGTTAAAGGAGTCAGGATAGTTATTTGGATTAAACATTTTTTGGGATTTTCAACATCATCTTCACATTAACAACATTTGATATTCTGATAATTCAAATAGAAAAACTGTTCATACATAGCTTTTTCAACCTAACTGACCAACATTATAAGTTTTAACATTTATTTAAAAAATTAAATATTTTTAAATTAACAATATTTGATATATATATATAAATTATTATAATAATGAAATTAATATATTATTATCCATGCATAAACTAAGAAACAAAAATATAAATAAGAACAAAATACAAATAAAACTAAAATAATAGATATATAAGGTAATATACAACTAAAAATGGTAAAAAAACATAATTCAGTACCATGCACAGACTAATTTAAAGGTGTAAAAACACAACATGAAGCATTGGTCTGATCTATGGGAGTTTATACAATATAAATAGCTGAAACTTCATAAAAAGCTTAAACTGGACTTTTCATAGGCAGATGGGATTGAAAATCCCAAAAAGCACTTAAGGTAAATAAATGATTCCTTTAACCTTTTTGAGTTTCTTTCTAACATTTACATCCATGGAGTCATCTTTTCCAGTTTTGAGTTTTACTAACATATACATAATAACAAACCATTTTAATAACATATACCAGTTTCTCAAATAAAATTCCCTTATTAAATTCCCACTAATATTAACAAAAATTATATCCTACCTTAGAACATTAGAAAAACATTTCCAGTTTGAAGATATTAATTCTATTCTAATAATAATATTGTGAACAATCCAGCAATACAAGAAAACATGTTGACCTTCTAATAAACAAGTCTACTGTTTGCAAGGACTGCAAGTTTTCATATAAATTTTAATGGAAATTTATATAAAAATCTAATTCATTTTTACAAATAAATTTATTTAAAAACTAAAGATTAAAAAATATTTTCTGCTATAAAATGTTTTTCTATTACTTAAGGATTCAGAAAGAAGTCAAATTCTAAAAAAAAAATTTTGACTTTTTATTAAATATTTACATATTAAAACATTTAATAATAATAAATTTACTTTAATAACTCATCAAGCAAGAATGGTAGAAAATATTTTTTGGTAAAGTGCAATATTCTATTATGATCAATGGACTAGGCAGTGGTAATTTACCATCATCTCTTTTTGAAGTACAATAACACTAAACAGAGGTATTCTTCCATACAGGGATATGCATTTCAGGTAGTTTTTTTTTGCCCTTCTTAACAAGTTTCTACAAGAGCACATTCAATATAGCATTTTATAACATTCAAATTTTTTCTTTCTGCAAATTATGATTTACATCAGTATTATTTCTCTCTCTCTTTTTTTCTTGTCTTCCAGAAAAAGTACATAATACTACATAATGTTTCATGAATAATATAAGTAAAAGTAAGGGAAAAACTTGAAATGTAATATTCTTATTAGATATGGACCAATACTATCGATAATATATTGATAAGTATTGCTATTTTAAAAAACACCCAATACTTGATATTTTGGACAATATCATTAATTATAGTTTCAAAGTTAATTTCTAAGCTGTGTCAATTTTTGACAATTTTAGTGTTATCTAACGGCAAAACCTCTGATACATCCTCGAGAAGCAATGCATACAGTACATGTAAATAAATGGAATTATTATGAAGACATACTATCTGTAATGCAGGCAAAAGGGGATGAACAATCATGCTAAAATATTTCCTGTCAACAGACATAGGAAGAGAGAAAAATATAGTCCATTCCCAAAGCAGAAAATAGTTATCATGATTATAGCCACGATCTTCTAGTTTCTTTATAAAAATTCACTTTTAATACTTATAGTTATTTCAAAACTTTTCTAATTTCTAAATTTCCCTGGGTAGCAATGTGTTTAATTAATTCTAAAAAGGGAAAAAGCAATGCTTTAGAGAACACTTTCCTCACATGGAAAAGTCTATTGATTTGTTCTGACAGTGTTCCATGTTATATTTATTTATAATATATGAATTTATTATAAACAAAATATAATCTAAATATAAACTTGAAAATAAAAACTAAATTTTATAGTAATATAACAGACATTTTTGATAATCAATTAAATTTTAAAAATATATAGTAATATATAAAAAAATTCAAGTCATTGATTAATAGTTTCCGTAACTTCTTCAGATTTTTCTATTTTTGCAATCATTTATCCTTGACCTGACTTTTTACTAGTTTACTTTTCACTCTCTTTGTAATCCCCTCCCACTATCTTTCTTCTTCATAGCCATTCTAACCTTGTCTATCCATATAGTACAAAGGACACCCACTTTTCCTTCTCACTCCTGGAATCCATCCTATTAACAATTTTGATAGTCTTCCTGCTTCCATTCTCCTCAATGTCCATACTAGTCCAATCATTTTTCTTCCATTTCATCAGTAATGTTTTCTACTTTCAAAATTTGTCTAATTTTCTCTTTGGTAAAGATCAGCAAGAAAATCAAAGATCCATCTCCACTGCTAAAAGTTTTTTTTTTAATCATTTGTTTCTGCACCCATATAATACTATACTTTTCACTAATATATTATATAATAATCCTTTTCCATACATCTTTTTAAACACTTTTTAATAATTCATCTCCATAACGTAAATTATGTATAACCCAGTTCAAAATATATAAATTTAACATATTCTCGAATTAAATATAAATAAAAATTCAAATATAACCCAAATAAAACACACTGTTAAAGCAATATAAACAAAATCTTATAAGGCTAGATTGTGAAAACTTAATCCTTCCTGATGTTTTTATTACTCAAATTTCCACTTGTGATGCAGTACAGCACTCAATATATGCATTCAAATATTTCAAAACAATTTGAAAACAGGTCAAGAAAGTCAAGTTTCAATTTGAAAAAATTCAATAGTTCATGATAAAATATTAAAATTATTTAAAATTTTATAAACAAATTTTTTTGTATTTAAATTATTTTAGTATCTTATAATAATTAGATACACTAGATTTTTCTTATCTTAAGAAAATCATTCTCCCAACCATATCAACTGAACTAAAAAATGATATAGCAGCAGATATATTTTAAAAGTATATTGTTAAAAATTAAAAACATTTTCATATATATATATAGGGAGATGCAAAAGTAAGTATATGGTTATTATGGAAAAAAACATGCAGGAATAAAAAAGAAAGAAGAAAAAAACATTTAATTTTATCATGAAAACAGACTGAAGAAAATGTCAAACTTTAATAAATCAACATAAAATTAATATTTAAATATTCATTTTAAAACTAGTAAAAGTTTTATAACCAAAACAAGAAAATTCAACTGGCACATTTCAACCAATGTAAACATAATATTTGCATATGTGAATCAATTGTAGGATGTAGTCAACAGATATTTAGGGTTTATATCATCATTAATATACTGAAAACTCAATTAATAAAGGAGAAATGCATGATGATTAGAGATGATAACNACACTTACATATATATATATATAATGATTTTCCTAAATAATTCTTTCCATTAATGTTTATATTACTTACGATATTTCTTTTAATTTACAATTAGAAAAATGGCGAGTTAATTTTTTTTTTTTTTTGTTATTTTAGTCATACTACATAAATATACATGATGTGTCTAAATACAGTATATAGTGCGTGACAAAAGGAAATGATTGAGGAAAATAAAACAAGAGTTCGGAGTAATATTATTTAAATTGTTAGGCATATTTCTACAAAATTCGTGTAAAATTTCGCTATTTTTGGAAAATACAGTCGATAAATAATAATAAAATGCAGCTTTGTAAAACAACAATAAATATTACTTATATAACTGGTATCGGAACAAATAATTTTGGTATTTGCTCGACAAAAATCAGAAACTATTATGATATATAAACTTCATTTTTTCGTGTACAGAGTTTTTGTGATTTTGGCCTAGAACAGTTTTTATACAACATTTAAATTAATAAGGATAAACTAATTGCATTCATTTTATATAATTTAAAAGAAAAAGATTCTGATTTTTTAAAGATTTATTTATATGATAGGAACATGTCAAAAACAATGCTATATAAATGGTTTACCTGTTTTGTTAAATCTTTGTATTATTTGTGTTAATTGTATTGACTGCATTCAGCAGACTCAACAGTTATAACTGAGCACACCTGTAGCTGTTACATAGCAACCTGGATCTGACAAATGATGAGTGGTATTGCATTGGAAGAAAAAGCCTCATTGGTCAATTTCAGCTAGCGATAGGTAGCATAAATGAAAGACGCTACCAAATGTGATGTCAAAACACCAAACATGTTCCGAAAGAGCACTACTGTAGAAGGCGTTCAGCAGAAAAATATTCAAAAGCTTTGGAACTGTTGAGTCAGCTAAACACAGCTATTGTTTAAGTATAATTAAGAGACCATTCATTATGTAGCTGCTTATTCTATAAATTTTCTCTTCCATCATATGGGTATATTTGTATCAATAAGTCATTTATTAGTGTAAGTTATTAGAAGTTGTTTTGTGTATCAATAACTAATAAATAAATTTTATATAATTTAAAGGTCAAAATGTAGGTTAAGTATAAGTTTTAAATCAAATTATCAAAAATCCTCATACCAAACAGAACTTGCAAAAATGAGAAATTTGATACAAGACTTGGAAGACATTGAATATTTACATTCACAACAAATAATGAAAAACCTTTGTTTCATTATTTTTACTTCTTTAAAATACACTTCTTTTTATATAAAGTTTCTCTTGAGATTACAGATACAAAAGTTGAATAATAAGCATATTCAAAACTAAAATTCTGAGTTATCTACATTAGCTTATGCTATTTACCTAAACTTAGTTTTTTTGAAGAATTATATCTTTCCTTTTTTTAAATATCTGATTTATAACACTAATTTTCTACATTATTTTTTGTTTATTCCATAAATTTTTCTACACACTTTTTTAAAAAATTTATGATTATATACAAAATATAGAATATGAACATATATATCTGCAATAAAATTGTAATAAATATTTAAAAAACTAATTTTAAATTAATTTGTTTATACTTTTACATTTACATTAACTTCAGTAAAACCATTGTTATAATACTTAAACTATTGAAAATTCGAAAGATCTTTGAAATAACTTATGAAATCACACAAAATGTCACATTACATTGTGCTTTGATTTTAAACTCAATTGCTTCATAACAGTTTATAAACTTGAAATTATTTCATAAAATATAATTGAATAGT